ACACAGGGCTCAGAGGCAACTGCATGGGTCACAGAAAGACCACTTGTGGCTCTCCAGATGTTTGGCCTGTAACTCTTATTAACCTTAACCAATGAAGCCAATGTAGAGGGATCATGGGAATCAGGCCAAAACATCTGAAGGCCACAAGCTGCCCATCCCTGGCAACTTCCCATGTAGAATTGCCTGCTATTGATGGACTGGAATATACTTCTTGATGCTCAGTCCATTTCTTAACTACATTTTGCTACAAGCAATGCAAGCACCTTGGGAACCGTGTGGGATTTCACTTACTTCTGTGCTGTCCGGTGCTTTTCCTCTGCATGCGGCAGTACAGTTCCTATTTTCCCCACCAAAAGAAGATAACAATAAGTAAATGCAGGTACTACAGAACCCTTCTGCAAACTGGCCTTTGGTATGAATTTGGAAGTACTCCTTCACTTGATCTTACAAAAAGAAACTATGGGAAGGCAAAAACAAGACCTTCTTTGTTATTTTCACAGGAGATAGACAAACTATTTATTAAAGATGAGTCTATATTACCATGCACAGGTGCCTCTTTGGAGTCATTCAGACATTTCAAGCAAGAGTCTGGATGGACCCTTAGGTTTAGGTATACTTTCCACCCTTCACACATACGTATCCTGGTCTACTCCAAAGCACTGGTTTCCTGCTCTCTTTTCAGTTTCAAAGCAAATCAGTTTGGTGGTTTATCCAAACTGGCAAACCATGAACTCTGTAAATAGGAATCAGAAATCAAAGCCTGATTGCAGAGGAGGCAGTACATGGCCCCAAGGATTCTGTAGAGAATGTTACAGCAAAATATGGTTTGATACTATGTCTGGATAACCTCTTTGGTCATGTTCAAACATCAAACTAAACCACAATACAACATGACAAGAATAAGCTGGAGGAGCCTGGGGGTCACATGTTCTCCCTTCCCACTCCTCGGTCCCAGCCATGAAGAGCAGTTGAAAAGCTTTTGCTTCAGTCTTACATAACCCACAGAACGTTATATGTCATCTGAACCCAACAACCTTTGGTTAACCTTAGCTATGGCTAGCAGAAACAAGCTAATTTCAAAACAAGGTGTATAAAACTGGCTTGTTTGTACTAACCATAGTTAAAGTTAACCCCATTTTAGGGTTTGGATATAAACTAAACAAAGGTCAACCTAAAACAGAAGCTTCCAATCTCCCCTTTGCAGCAGCGGTAAGGAAAAAGCACAGAAGCCCCAGGTTCACTGTGCCTCACTACTGTCCTGTTTTAGCATTAGGTCCACATGCAGCCTTTCACTCTCAGGGCTTTTACACATAATAGATGAATAAACCTCAGTTTGCCAGGTAGCATTCAATTAACAGGAAGCCATAACTAATCATGAGTATTTATTTTATTTTTTATTTTTATTTTTATTTTTTTGATTTATATCCTGCCTTTTTCCTACAAAGGGCTCAAGGCAGTTTACATCATTCCCCTCCTCCATCTTATCCCCATAACAACCCTGTGAGGTAGGTTGGGCTGAGAGTCTGTGACTGGCCCAAAGTCACCCAGTTGGCTCCATGGCCGAGCGGGGACTTGAACCCAGATCGCCTGAATCTCAGTCCCATGCTCTTAACCACTACACCACACTGGCTCTCCTCACACCACACTGGCTCTCCTCAGGATTCACAAATACATGCCTTTTACACTTTTCAACAAAGACCTTTAAAGGGTAACCTGTGGTTTGAACTGCTCGTTATGCTGATGAAACTCTTCATATGAAAGTGGCTTTCATAGCTTAAGATAATCATCCATTGTAGCCCAGTAGTAATCTTACTACTACTAGGTAAACGTCCAGCAAACAGGGCATGTTCTTGATAACCTTCCAAATCAACACATACATAAGTGAATTGCCAACTGAAGATTCCAATCAGCAAAAACTCTGGCAATTAAGAATTCATAAACTTACATCCAAATCCTATCATAAAATACCACACAAACAAACCCAAGATGGTTTTGATCATGAATGTTTGTGGGTGTCAAGCATACTTGATTGTGAATGAATGGGTATAAATGAATTCTTCTAAAGCTTCCGTGGAGGAAAGACTCCAAGGGAACTGACATCTCGGCTTCTTCTAGCCCAGCACAAACCATAAGTAGTACTTCCTGACAGTTAGGACCCTGACAGTTAGGAGGGTATGGAATGGGCTTCCACGGGAGGTGGTGGAGGCCCCATCGGGAGGGTGTTCAAGGATAGACTGGACATGTACATGGTAGGTATGTCATGAGTGGAGCCAGCTGGAGCCGGGGGTCAGACTAGATGGCCCGGGAGACCCCTTCTGACTCGCCCTGTTTCTATGTTCGTATAATAGTCCCTGCTGCTTGGGTCTGTCCTAGACTTTCTTCTCACGCTGGGGGAGGTTTCAGATTCCATTTGTTTCCCAATCACTCTGGTAGCATCCCATGTTTACAACAGGCTTGGGAAATAAAAACTCATTTGCTCACTCAGACCCCCACGCACCCTTTACAAATCCCCTCTTGCAACTGGTCTGCCTTCCTCCCAGATGTCCACGGTTGTTAAGCACTTTGCAGAGCACAAGTCCCTTTGAACAGCAGCACACTTTTGCTATCTGCATTCCTCGGAAATTCTTGTCCTCGGATGCCTGTGGCCTCTCAGTCAGATCCCAGTTTAAGCAGGCAACCTGACATAAGCCTCTAATAACTGTTTATCCTTAACACACCTTTCCCTCCCACTCACATTCCTTCCAATAATCTGAAGCCTTCTTCACACCTATATTCTCAACGTTCAGCATACTCCAACTGGGATGGGACACAGCTATGCAGAGAGACTCTCTCCAAACTGCTGACCAGGGCATGACAAGAGACACTGCTGAACCTGGAGTGCACACCTAAGTTACAATCGTCTCTGTCCCCAGGTTTACCAAGCTTCAAAATCCACCAAACGTGTTTGAAAAGGGCAAATAACATTAGTGTAGACATTACACGTAACAATGCTGGGATCCTACCAGCAATGTATCGGTTGTCTCCAAAGTAGTGCACATTTGTACATCCATTCTGAAATGGTTTGGAACTGCACTGAATTCAAACTTTGCAATATAGAGATGCTGGCAGGGACTAAACACTGTTTTTCTGGCTGTGTACACACAGAAGGAAGCCAGCCAAGTATAAGCTCAATTAGGTTTGCATTCTCAAACTAAGCGAAGAAGTTAGTATTGGTTCTCTGCATTTACTGTTTGATGCTGCTGAGGAGCTTAGGAAAATGACACAAAGAATTTCCTTCATGCATGTTCTAGGGATGGCTACATTTAACAAAGTAACTGCTGTTTTGTTTAAATATCCATTGCTAGATATTTAAACAAAACATTGCAGTAGCCCAAGCCAATCAGATCTTGGTCTGTTCCCAAAGCATCCACATTGGCACCACCATTTAACGGTTAAGAAAATAACTGGAGATACCCGTAGGTGAGGTTCGCAGGATCATGAGGAAAAGAAGTAAGACTGGTTTCCTTGTGCTGTGCCTGCACAGGTCAGGCACACACCGGGTGATTCCCCTTACTACCCTTGTGATGCATGGCTTACCACGTTGTCCAGATCTGGAGAGGTGCACAAGGGAGGCTTAAAACCCCCACCCAACTCATGACTTGCTTTAGGGTTCCAGGGTGGTTTCCAAACCATGCCATGCTGTGGATTTGCACAACTTGACAAGTCACACACAAGGGCAAATTCCACCACGTGCAGCTAGCACATGCAAGGGTAGGGAGAGAAAGCCCCATGGCTTCTCTTCCCAATGATTATGCAAACCTGACCCTAGTTTTTCTCATTTGATCCATGAACTCACTGGATACCCTTAAAAGTTAGCATGTCTCAGCATCCATTTACACAGGTAAGGCAAGACAGACCTGAGGTACATAGGAAAGATGGTACAAAAATGTTATCATTATCATCTACGCCTCCGGGATAGGTCAATTTGTTTTACCAGCTCAATATTTCTCTCATTTTATTCAACTTGGATTCCTTCCTATGCCTTCCAAAAGTTATTTTAAGTGCACTCCAACCAAATCTCATAGATTACAGAAGGAAAGTTAAGGAAGCCCTTAGAAACATAGAAACAGAGCGAAACACAGAAACTTATCTGTTTCCAACTGAAATCAGAGACTTAATACCAAAACAATGCTTTGGCTTGATGGTGAACTTTATTAAAGACCTGGAAGCTTTGCTGGCTGGGGCATGATGGGAGTTGTAGGCCCTTTTTTCAATGTAAACTTGCCTAGGATTGAGTGTTCAGTGAATCACGGAATGGAATTGTGCTGATAAATTTGAGAATTCTGTCCACCCAGCAATGACCACTACAATAAGCCACTTTTCCGGCCTGCAAAGCCTGAGAAGGCTCTTATCACTTTCCTCATTTCTCTAGATTTCCTATCAGGTAAGCCAGTGCGGAGAGTTTTTCCCCCTCACTTGGCAGTCAAGTTCAAATAGCCAGCTTAACAAGAGCTTTGTCTGTGTTCATCCAATATGCATCGGGGGAAGGTGAGCGGCTCTAAAATAAGAAGGAAACGGAGCCAGGCAGCAGAGTCGCTTTTAAGAAGCAAGTGCGCTAAATCCAACGGTCCCCTCAAAGGTCCACTTTATAAAGCGCCTGGGTGTGCAAACAGGCTCAAGCACGCACACGCACAAGGCACTTCCTCCCAAGAGTGATTGTGTGCGCGTCCTAGAATCAGTCTACCAGCAGCAAGTGAGCTTGGGAGATAACGCGCCGAGGGAACAACGAAAGTAGGGAAATAGGGTGGGGAAGCTGAGGCATTGATCCCACGCTGGCGACGAGGGGTTCGGCTTCAGTCCTAGCACTGGCTTGCACTGAACCGCGGCGCAAGCGAAGCGCATGCTTTACGCGTTGCAGGAGCGCACTGCGACCTATAACACAAGGGCAGGCGGGGGGGGGGGGGTCCCATGTAAAGTGGATGAGAAAGTTGCCCCTGAAAGGCGGCTTGCGAGGAAAATACCTGGATGGTCTGGTTAGGCTCCCCTCCTGCCACCGGCCCGCCCACGAGTTTACAGTACAAGTCCTCCACGGGTCTGAGGGTATTGGCGCCGGACTCCTCTTCGCCGCAGGTCGCGGTGGCCGAAATCTTGGTTCCTTCGGCCAGGTTGAAATAAGGCGGGTGCAAGCTGTGGCCGTTCACGTCCGCATGGAAGGAGACCGGCTGTCCCTCCGAGCTGGGGGGCACGGCCGCGGCCACCAGCAGCGCCAGCAGCACCACGTTAGTCGTTCCCGCAGCCCTCTCGTCCCTCGCCATCTTCACCGATGCCTTTGCCAAAGGACCGAGTAATAGCAACGAAGGAGAAGCCTTCCCCCTCCCCAGGGAACAGGAATGGGAGAGCGGGGAAGGGGGGGAATCCGTGGGCAGCGCGCGGCTAGTGCGTCCCTGGAGGACTCATGGCTGAGGATCAGAGGGCGGCAGGAGGACTCCAGCCGGCGAGAGGAGGGCGCCGAGGCAAGTTCGGCCGCTCCTGCATGCGGCCGCTGTGCAAGTTGGTGGTGCACGATTCTCCCCTGGCACCGGCGGAGGCCCCCAGGGAGGGAGGGAGGGAGGTCGGCCGGCGGGTGGGAGTGGCCGCGCGGGGATTATTCATGCTCTGATTCTGTTCATTGTTTTGGCCGCTCCCGCACCGCCGCCAAGGGAGGGCCCGGAGGAGGAGCCAGCGGGAGAAAGAAACCCCGAAGCCTGCCGCGCACCGCGCACCAGCCTCGGGGATGAATGGGACGAGGCCCCCCCGGGCGCCTTCGCAACTGGCGGACGGCTCCTCCCCCCTGCCTTTTCCTGCAGTCGCCGTTCGTGCACTGCGTCGGGGATGGGGAGCGTGACCCCGCGCACCGACTTGGGAGGAGTCCCCGAATTCTCCGGGTTGTCGCTACCTGCGAACCGGCACGGTCCTGCAAGTGGGCGCGATTGAGCTCCAGGGACTTGCTGCTGAGTAAACACGCACAGGGATTCGGCTGCCCAGACCGGGTTTCCCGCCTCGGAATATTTTCGATACAGGATAAAACATGGAACGGCCAAAATAAGCATTCTCCCCGTGCGTAAAAATACTCTTCGGGCTCGATCCTGTTTGTGTTTATTTGGACGCCAGCCCGACTTGCTTCAGAATTCGCTTCCAAATAAAGCCATCGTCTAATGCACGCTTTCTGAAGATTTGCCAAAAAGTTCCACTGGATGCAGTGGGACATTTCTAGGTAAACGTGCACGGGATTGCACTGCACGTGTGTGTTGGCGATACTTCTAGTAAAGGCAGCTGCTAGCAGGCCAGCCATTCTGCTTACATTCGATCATATTTTGGCATGATTGAGAAACGAAAAGCAAATGGCATTTAGTAGTACATAAAAACATAAACGTAAAAAGCCATCATGCTTAATGCACTGCTGTTACTTGGAAGCCCAAGCTTTGCGGGTCAGGCATGCAGGGCCTGTGGCAGACTTGGACGGCACCCAGGTCGGGAACGGTTTTGTGCCTCCATCTGAACAGTGCCCTTCATGCACTGCTAATCTTTTCTTACTTGGGTTCTGTGGGTGAAATCCTATGCAATGCTGGGAACTCCGGGACGTCTTTTCTGCCTAAACTTGTAAACAATTGCATGCTGAAAGAATCCACTCAGGTGTGCTTCCAGATGCTCCCACCAAATGGGATGGGGCAGGTGAAGGAAAGGGCCTGCTCGGTGGTGACATCCTGTTGGTCAAGGGCTCTCCAGAGAAAGGCTCACTTGGTGAGCCTTAGTATTTTCTTTTGCTGCTGTTTTTAATCAGGCCCTGTGTACTGGATGGCTTTATTGGCTTGTTGCTGATTCTATCTTCATCCTTATTTTGTGTTCCGGTTAGTTTCATGGTTCTAATGTGTTGTACACCAGAGAAATTTGGTTATAAGGTGTGTACAGTGACTAAATAAAGGGGCAACCCTATGACTGCGAGGCATTGTCTTAGGGGACATAGGGTATTGGAGGTTTTGCTCTTTGGGGTTACAATTAAGCCTGAGTTACCTTTCAGCCTCCTTTCTCCCCCTGAAATGTCCATCTGGCGAAATATGCAGGGCTCCTGACTGAAGATCACCTCTGGCACTCCTCTCACCTCGCATGGGATGCACCAGGGCTTCCAGTCATCAAAGGCACCATGGATGGGGCTTGGCTTAATGAATGGTCACCAACAGCTCTAATAAATAAAAGTGAAGTGGTATACTTGATCATAGTGCTACAGAAAAGGCAGCTCTTTGGGTGGCCTGAGCGTCTTCCGTCTCTGCTCCCAGGTAGGTGGCAAAATGCATTTGTGCTTGTAGAATGTTAATTGGACCTTCAAGGGGTCCGCGAGATGTGGGCCTTCTATGATAGTCATCACCTGGTAGGTAACTGGAAACAGAGAAGGTGCACTATTTTAAGTTCTATGTAGGACAGTGACCAGAAAATGCTCCATGATACAAACAATCAGATGCACCAAAAGCCATCCCACTGAATGCATGTTCCAGAATCATGTCCACTTAGCTGCATTTTACACAGTTATGCCCAGGTACATCCCTAATAGAATCATAGCATAGTAGAGCTGGAAGAGCCCATGAAGGCCATCAGGTCCAACCCTCTGCTGGTGCGGGACACCAACCCACTCAGATTGCTGTCCAGTTTCTTTTATGAATGTCTCTAGTGTGGGAGACCACCACCTCTCTAGGCAACTGGTTCCACTGTCGTATTGCTCTGACAGTGAGGAAGCTCTTCCTGATGTCCAGCCTGAATCTGGGTTGCTGCAACTCTAACTGATTATTCCATGCCCTACACTCTGGTATCAATGAGGAGAGATCTTGACCTTCCTCTTTGTGACAGCCTTTGAGGTACTTATAGAGGAATATCATGTCCCCCCTCAGTCTTCTCTTCTCAGGGCTGAACATGCCCAGTTCTTGGAGTCTCTCTTCATGGGGCAGCATTTCCAAACCCTGGATTATTTTTGTTGCCCTCTGCTGGACCCTTTCTAATTTACCTGCATCTTTCTTAAATCTTGGTGCCCAGAACTGGACACAGTATTCCAGATGGGGCCTGATTAGTGAAGAGTTTAGGGGAACTACTGCTTCTGGTGATTTGGAAGTATTACTATTACCTCTATTAACTTGTTCAATCTGTGTGAGTGAGAAAACAAAGCTGTTCTTTTCAGGTTATCTTGGTGATTTAAAGGGCTGGTTTTAGCCTACAGCTAAGAACCAGGAGACGCCAAGGTTTGTCTGCTCCCTTATGTACCTATTAAGACTGGCCTCAGAAACTGTATCTCCATGCCATCCAAAGCAAGATGGATGCTGACTGGAGAGTCAGAAATTGGGCTTTTCCTCTTTTTATTTGCTATCATTTTATTTCAGGGCTTGTCTTTTGCATTGTCTGCTGTGATTTTTATGCCGAGTTAGATTTTTTTAATTGTATTTCTTTAATTTTATTGTAGGCCACTAGGGAAAGTCACAGGTTGCCAAAGAACAGGCAGTTACTAACAAGTCATAATAAGAAATAAGAGTATGTTTCTGTATTGACAGAATAGCGTGATATATGAAGCACGGGTGATTTCATGGGGATGATACCACATGTGCTTGGGTGAGCTGGAAGACTGCTTGAAAAATGCATTGAATGATGCCAAACGGCAAGCCAGCAGTAACCGTTGTTCCTCTGCTGGCATCAAGCGGCTGGAGACGAGCGATACTGACATGACTTCACCATGACTTCCATGTGAAGTTTTCAATGTAGCTCACGGTGGCTCAGCCCCATTTCACATGGCAAAGAAGCATTCGACCACAGCAGCCCAGCTCATTCAATTAGGAGTGACTTCCTGGAGCGCTTTCAAAACTTCATTTAACTCCTGCTTTGGCAAGCTTTCCAGGCTTGGAAGTCTTAAAAGCAATTGCTGCATTTGGAGCCAGTTTCCCAATGTTAAGATGCTGGCCTTCCTAAATGCATTGAGCTCTGCTTATATCCAATCTCTGCACAGGCAGGAGTTCTAAACATATGTCATAATATGCCATTTTAAGGCAGGCTTTGAGTCTTCCCGTGTATAAGGCATACTTCTCACCCCATGCCTTCCAGCTGGACATATTTAATAGGTGCAGCAATTATGCTTTTCTGCCTAGGAGGTTGCTGTTAATGCAGTAGGAGGTTACTTATCCAAGCTAGCAGGATGTTGTCTGTTTTACTTAAGAAGGCCAATTCTGCTAGTATATCCTGCTAATATATTCTGAACATTTTAGCATTGTGAAAGTGATAGATGTGGCAGTTTTTACAAAATGCCCAGATGTAAAACTGTCGGCACATGAAGACATGGCACATGGAATGTGTTTTCATAGCAACTCATATTCTGAAAAAGCCCCATCCCTTTTCTGAATGTGTATTTTGAAAGAGTGGACTAATCAATGAATGGAGAGTTCTGCTGGCTGTTCTGTTATGCATGCTTTAGGGCAGTGGTTTTCAACCTTTCCACAGCTGGAGACCTGCAAAAGCAGGAAAACCACCTCAGGGACCACTGAGGCAGAAACAAAAAGCACCATGCACATGATACAGTATTCTGTGTATTAGTTTCCAAATAAAATGCCAGAAGAAGGAGGAGGAGGAGACGGCGATGAAGAAGATTCTCCAAAACAACCAGAAACTGAGCAACGAAAAATGCCAACAAAAGTACAAAATACCAAAATCAGCATGGCATGACTCCCAGCAGGCTCCCACAAAGCTTTCTCCCCCCCTGGCACCTGCATCCCCCCCCCCCACAAACACGATGCCAATTGAGGAAGAGGTGGTGAAGCACAGCCAGCCCTGTGCCATTCCACAGTGAGTGGGATGCACCCCCACCCCCCCAGACTGGCAGGAAATCTCCCACAAACTGGCCCTGGTTCACGGACCGACGGTTGAAAACCACTGCTTTAAGATATAGTCCTATGCATGTTTAGACAGAAGAATGCATTGCGTTTCTCAGCCATGCTGGCAGGTCATTCTGGGACTTCTAGAAACTGTCCAGGCATGTATAGAATCAGATCCTAGTTCATTAACATCAAACAGGTATAGGTATTTTCACTTGCCAGATGTTGTGTAGTTACAGTTGTTTGTATCTGTATCTGTGATCATTCTGCATAAGCCAGACTGCCATCCAGAATAGAATTCATGAGAATCAAGGTTTTCTATGCTTAAAAGCCAGTTTCTAGGTGTCGTGCGTTGAAAGTGCAGTGAAAAATAGATAGGTAGCAAGCACATGGTGAAGAGATGCTAAGTAGGTCATACATCAGTCAGAGACCACATCTTCGTGATGCTTCGTAGCTCAGACACTGGCTAGCTGGGACACAACAGGTTTTTGGAGTAAGCAAAATAAGCAGAGCTGTTTGCCAGGTTCATTCATTAACTCCAGGAGCTGCTGCTGCCAGGCCAACCATTCATGCTGGCTATGATGTCACATTTGCAAACTCAGAGGACATGCAAAGCAGTCTCTGCCAGTCCTGTCACTTTTCTTCGTGGCCACGCTG